TATTTCTTATTCTATCATTAATATAGAATGATTTCTACCAAATAGATTAACCCCACACCCACACCCAACCAAGGTTATTATCAAATATCAATAAAATCTATGTATACGATTTTAATTATTTATTTTAGGCACGAATGGCTCAAAATAATTTATTTTCCATTTAATCATTCATTACAAAATGAATGTCATTGTTCATAGACGGATAATCAGTCTTATTCGTATGGCGATCAATACACATGTCTTATTGTTTACTTAAAAGCCACATGCACGAATATACACAATCTTTAAAACAAATGCATAACTGATTTTGTATTACAAACAAAGTTTTCGCAATAATGTTGATTTTTGGTCGTTTCTTTTTGTCTACTAACTATACACAAGTTGAAGATAATTTTTACAGACATTCTCATCGTCTTTTGTAGTTCATTTTTGGCTACCAAAGATGTTCGCTCATGTAAAACACGGATGCCTAATATATTTTTTTTTAACGTAAACTAATAAATATAAATTTACTAAACAGGGGAAAAATAACAAGCAATTTTATTAACTCTAACATTTCCTGACTAAGAGATAAATCTATATTCTAAAGCTGATTACCCCTTCCGATGTTATCTTTTCAAATAAAAGATTCTTTGAAACGATTTATGGAACTAAAAATAATAAAAATAATTTTCTTTCAGAAATATATGAAATATTTATTTGCAGTTATAGAGAGCAAAAAAGAACGATATCAAACAAACAAACAAATAAGAAAAATATTTATACATATCTTTCGATGCTAAGAATTTAGGATACAACATCTGTTTGTATATAAACATGTACAATAGAATTATATTAGTCAAGCAAAATAAAAGATATATATGTATAGAGAGAGGGAGAGAAGGAATTATAGGCAATGCACATACAAGGAAATATCCAACAAAATATTTATTTACGTGTTCGTAACGGTTTTTTTATTCGAGATTTTTTCTAAACAAAACAAAAAAGAAAATGAAAGTTTTTTAATAGAAAAAATTTATTTAATTACCTCATCTTCATCTTTATCATCATGTGTCGGATTAGCAAAGAGACGTGTACGAAGATTATATTTTCCTTTTGGTGATGGAATTTTTTTCACAATTGATGTACCCGGAGTTGATGTAATATTTGTTGCTGGTGTTGTTGTTCGAAGTATTGTCGGAGGTATACGTTTTGTAGGTGTTGATGAACCAAATGCTATTACAGTTGATTTAGTTTGTAAAACATGATTTATTCGTGATGAACTTGTTAATGCTAAAAAAATAAGATTCTAGTTTTTTATACATTTTAAATTAAAAATAATATACTTGGACTAGGTCGAAATAATGATTGAATACGTTTAAATGTAGATTGTTTTGGTGTATTATTAACTATATTCGTTAATGGAACAATTTGTGTTGTTGAATTAACACCAATAGTATCAAATGATGCTCTATCAAGTGATATATCTCTTTCAATAGTGGCATAAGTATGTTGAGGTGATTGTTGTTGAATAGGTATTGGTTCTGGTTCATTTGTTTTCTTTTTAGTTCGACCACGAATGATTGCTGTTTTAGGTTTACTTTTAACATCCGATGAAGAATCAGCATTACCATCCTAAAATAAAATCACTATTATGATCAAAACAATAAATGCTGACTTCGTTCTTAATCAATTTTTTTTGTACACGTTTGTACTTCTGCACAAGAATATGTTATATTCAACGTAATCTCGTGCCTATTCATGTCTATCTATCGTCAAAAGATGGAATTTGATGATACCTTTTTGGTTTGTTTAATTGGTATTTGAGTAATATTTGAAGCACTTGCTGTTGATCCATTACGTGTTATTCGTTTCGGCTTATTTTCATTATTTTGTTCATGTATATTTGTTGAATTATTATTTGAACTAGCTGTTGATCGACTACGTGTAACACGTTTTGGTTTTTTAATTTCTTGTTCATAATGATTTTCATCATTTGTACGTCGTTTTGTTCGAGTAATTCGTTGTTCTTGATTAATTATTGTTGTTGTTATTTTTGTATTTAAACTTAATTGCGAATTTACTTTTACATTTTTATGCATATCAATTAATTCAAGTTGTAATGCATCATATTTAACTTGTAAAGTTTTTAAATCATGTCTAGTTTTAGTAAAATCATATTGAATTTTTTGTAATTCTGTTTGTTCATGACGTAATTTATCTTCGAATGATCGAGCTTTTTTCTCAGCATCTTGTTTACGATAAAGTTCAAGACCAAGATCACGTTTTAAACGTTGAATTTCATCTTTAAAATGTTGTTCATGTTCACTTAATTGATTTTTATTTTGATCATTTTGTTGAATTGTTTGTAAATGTTCACTTGTTAATTGATCAAATTGTTTTTGTAAAGTTTTCAATTGTGTTTGTAATAATTCAATTTTATTATTTGATTGAAAATTTTTTTCTTTAAGTTCTTTTTCTAATTTAAGTATTTTTTGACGATGTTGTTTTTCATTTATTATTAAATCATTATGCAATTGTTGTGTACGAAGATGATTGTCTTGTTCTTGACGTAGATTTGTTGATAGTGTTTCATTTTCTTCAGTTACCGATTGTTTTTCTTTGGTTAATATATTGATTTGTTCACGTTGATGAAGAAGATATTGAACACTTTTAACTCGTTCTTGACTAAATTTAAATAAAAATAATGAGAGAAATAGTTATCATTTTGTATTTACTGTAATTGAACCATCAAGATTCGTCGATTTGATGCTTGTTTTTGTAATAAATCTAATGATTTTTTCGTACAATATTTCCAATAATTTATCTAAAAGATATTTTTAAAGAATATTTTTCAAAGATAAAAATAAATGTAAATACCGATTTGATATCATTTGGAATAATGAATGATGATCCTTCAATTGGTTGAATAACAGTTTCTATAAAAAACAAAAAAAGACAATATCCTGTTAGATTAAAGTCAAAATCAATAAAATATTTACCTTCAATTTCTTCGTCCTCATTAATAATATCTTTTTTCTTTTTCTTTTTCAAAGGTCCATCTTTCGCAAGTCGTTTTGGTCCCTTTTGCTTCGATTTTCGTGGTTGTCGTATCAAACCATTCGCGCCTATTTTTGGTTCGTTAGGTACAATAATTGTCTAAGCAAAACAACAACAATTAATAATCAATAGACAAACACATCTGATTCAACAAACTTTCTGTGCTAATGCACAAAATTTTAATAAATCATTTGTTTGTGTAATAAATGTTGCACATGGATTAACATTACAACAAATTATTGTTCGTCCACGTCCAACAAAAAACGGACGAAATATACTTGTTAATACACTATTTCGATATGGAACAAGCATTTGTTTCCTATTTCAATTGAAAATGATTCAAATTTATTGAACAGTATGTAATCTTACTTTGCTGTTTGATTTTCATTTAATACACGAATACAATCTTTAAATGTCATTAATGACGTATTTATATTACAAGTTTCAGCAAGTTGTTTTCCGGTACCAGTTGATGGTTCATTACCAGCTAAATCACATATGTCTAAGAAAGAAAAAAGAAATTTTTTAGAAGACAAAAACTCGAATTAAAATTTTCTTACACATATGACTCATTGTTGGTGCTTCATCAAATTCATTAATTGTAATTAGTGTAATACATAAAACAGCATGTGATCTTGATGATGCTTCATTGAGATTTGTTTTTGATGTTGCACGATTTGAAAAACCAAATTTAATAATATCTTCAGCTTCGTTTATATCAAATACTGGTATTTGTATAAGATTTTTAATCATTGTGGATTCATCATTTTGCATAAGACGAAGATTTTTACGTGTTTTCATATCTTTTGGTTGTACAAGTAAATCAAGAATATTTTCATTGTATAATTCAAAAAATGAGATCCATATAGAATAATGTTCATCTATTTAAATATGATACTATAATTCAGTCGTTTTTATTTTTTGGTCTATTTTTTACCTTCGACCGATAAATCTTGAAAACTATTTTGTTGTTGAACAATATTTGGTAAACGAATTCGACGCTTAAGAAAAAAATAGAAATCAATTAGAAAAACTTTTTTTTTCGAAGAAATAAATATTTACACGATCATTTTTATCATCTTTAAAAATATAGTTTCGTGCAGTGATTTCTATATCAAGAGTAGAATCAGTTGTTGGTATTAAATTTTCAAGACCATCTGGTTTGAAACAAACTTTATCATC